CAAAGCTTCAAACGACGCGTCGACTATTAAATCAGTCGTTGACGATTTTGATAGTCGACGTTATTAATACTAATAACATATTATTGATTAACCTCGTCTTGTGGACAGATGTTATCAGATGTTCGGTCTGTTTTTGGCGTCTTCTTCCTGCTGTTCGATGGCGTTTGCGGTGGACCCTCAGCAGGAGCTTTGGGAGAACACGGGGATCGTTTTTAGCTGAAAGAATTTGGACCATTTTTCACTCTGTGGTTTCTCAGAGTTTGTTTGAAGGAGTATTTTGAGCCAGTAATGACTAATGAAGACAAAGCTGTGGTTTGCTCCTGACAAATTTTGTCCTACTATTATATGTAATAACACTTTCTTATTTCCCACCAGTCGGTTCTTACTTTGACAGTTTTATATCAGACTGCTGACACAGCAAACTAAAGTAAATCCTTGGACTTGGAATAATCAGTTGTGATTTTGAGCAGATGTGATGTTATTGGCAGCTCATAGGTCGTGAAATTAAAGTTGAGACACTTGTTTGTAGATGGACAGAAAAACAGCGAGCAGCTATTTTTATACTCTTTCATTCGTTCTTTAGTCAAACAGACACTGAAGGAATCGTCTGCACCTCTGAAAAGTTTTCACTGGTTTCTCTTTAATTCTTGACGCTTCTTTCAGCTGTTCTGAATGTCCCGCAGGCTGACTTTGACAGACTGGCAGATAAGCAGCTTCAGCAGCTCTGATGGATGAATGGATGCATAGACTGTGAGGTGATTAGATGTGCAGATAGATTACGGACAGGTCAGCAGATGGCTACTGCAGATGTGTTCGTTGTCTGCATGCGCTTCAGGCAGCGTGCTGCCGTGCATCGCTGCTGGCAGGTTTTACTTCCTGGTTTGCTTGTGTTTTTTTGTTTTAACCGCTCTGTGACACCCAGCTGCTGGCGGGTATCACCTCCTCCCCCTCTGTCTGCACTCAAACGGGGCAACTGTTGCATCAGATCTCATTTATTTCTACTCAGCGAGTGGAGCTACTGAAGCAGATCACAGTTGGAGCTTTCATGCCTTTTTTGCATACA